CTTGAGGCATTTACCACCTGATGTAATGAAAGGCAATAAAATGCAATGGTTAATTGAATGGATGCGAGATGCTCTTTGCCTCGCAGGACCGAATTAAAATGTTGCACCGTCATTCAGCAGCCAGACACAAGACCTGGGGTTGAACTGAAGAATTAGCTAAAACATAAATTGTGTATCATGAGCAGTATTCTTTTGTTTAATATTTTAATCTCTCATTACAGCCAGTCCTCCATAAGATGCTCATAAGATGCAGTACTGCCAGGCTAATTTCCTCCTATTTATATGCCTTGGCATCTTGATGTGTTACTTGCTTTAAATCATGGGAGAGGTTTTAAAAGAGGTAATAGGAAATACTTCAGAAGGGTAATGCAGTTGGAAGGTTGTAACCTAATTTTTGTAAGAATTGGGTTCAAAGGAATTTCTGTAACTTAAAATCCCTTTGGATTGGGAATAAGTTTCAGGTCAAAAATATCACTTTTTTATACACACACAAAATATCTTGTATCTTATATAGTAATGTAGCAAACAAAACGTGAAATAGAGTAATTAATTTTCATGCATTTTCAAGTGCAATAGGACACAGGGTCCTGGGAGTAGTGCAAGTTAGTTTAAAAGCACTAACTGAAAGCAACAGGCTTCCACAGAGAGTTTAGGTTTTGTGACAGCCGTGCCAAAAGCTCCCTGATCAGGATACACGCTGGCAGGAAGCTTAAGAGCAGCCATTGGTTCCGATTTGCAAAACACTTCAATATATGCTTACTTCAAATATGTATCCCAGCATGTAAAGTTCATTCAGCACAATATACATTACTGTTTACTTAGCTGTAATAATAATAAAACTTTACTTAAAATCTTTATCATTTTGTATAACCCCCCCCAAATGTTTGTTAACTGATTATTCAATGCTCAAATGTTATCTTAAGTAATCCGCATAATATGGTTATAACATGGAAAGTATCTATTCTGATTAATTTGCCTTATTTGTCTTATAGGCGACCATTTGTGTTATAGGTGACCATGCAATCCCTTCCTGCCCTTCACCCTGAGGACACCCCCAACCCTGCACACCTCCAATCCCGCTGCGAGGGAGAGCAGGGAGCCCCTCATCTTCAAACCCAAACCCACGAAGCGAAGCTTGGTGCAGGAGGGCGAGCAAAGCGTTAAATCACCTCCCAGGCGGGTGATGCCACCTCCTGGTGTCACTTCCCAAAGTGTTGATTTAAGGAACACAATGACTTGTCTGCTCAGATCAGCAGCAGGGAGCCGGGATGATGCCAGCTGAAGCATCACTTTGTTCCCAGCACTCCCCGGAGCGGCCGCAGCCATGGGATGGAGGGGGCACACGGGGCACACTGGAGCCACCAGTGTCACCCCTGCCCAAACGCGCCCTGACCCCTCGGAGTTTGGCAGCGCTCTGAACCATGCCCGGCGGGCTGAGCTCATCACCTTGTGCCCCGGTGTTTCTCTCCTGCCGCCCTTGGGGGGTTTCCCCACTGCACGGGCCAGCGAGTTCTTCCGCGCGAAGCCCAATTTTCCGCGGGCAGCCCCGCGCGCGGGAGCCCTGCCAGGCACAGGGGTTCAGGCTGATGCAGCCACCTCCTGTTAATTTCTCTTAGCACTTTGCTACGCTGTCTTAGGCAATTGCCTCCCTCCTTCGTTTAGCCCTTTCTCTCCAATTGATCTTTCCACTTTATCCTCCCTCTCCATGTTTGCACTAGACTACCTTCGGCATGTAAAGGATTCCAGCCAGGTTGGACAAAACTGTTTTTTCCCATTCTCTGCCACAGGAGCAAGGCTGGGTTCGAGATTTTACTCCAGCTCCAGACGCATTCCCTTTGTCCTTCCACTGGGATTAATCTTAAACCCCAGTTACAAGATGGTGACGGTTAAATTCACAGCACAATGCAACCATTTTGGGTGCTCTTTGCTACTTGAATTAAAACGCCCCAGACCACACACACAAAAACCCCCTGCATTCCAAGAGACTCTAGGGAACCACCAAGTAAGCAAAAATGATTGAAGGCCCCTGAATTTGAAGCTCCCTTTTCCTCCTGGGCAGGAGGATGATTATTCTGTGCGAGAGAAGAGCACATTGTCACACTAAGAAACGGCATTTTGGGGCAGCGCGCATCTCCGCGGCAGGACGGGACCCAGCCAGGAGACGAGAGCGCCTCGTGGCAATCCTGCACTGCACTGCGCTGCACTCGGGCTCCTGAGGCTTCCCCATCTTTTCCCTTAGGGTCACCGAGGAAGCAGAGGCAATTATCTTACATGAACCCTCATCTGAATTCATCTGGATTCACAAGTCCCTCACGCGAGAAGGCTGAATTTGCTATCAGGACAGTTTAAGCCAGGTGCTTAAAAGACATAATAAAGTATGAATAACTATTGCAGTCAGCTCCAAACAGGTCAAGTATTTTAGCCAATAGACTTTGTTACCAAGTAGAAATGAAATCATTATTGTGTTCTCTTAAGACTGTATCTTTGCCTTCTCCTACCGGGTATTTAAGCAAATCTTTATGTGGAATTCACTCAAATACATCCCCATTTCATACAAAGCTGCTCTTCACGTTACCTTTGCCATCGGTCTACGTGTGAAACGCTGCCACTGAACGCATTTGAATAGGTCAGTAGAACGGGCAGGGCTTGGAGGCTGCTTTCCCTCCTGATCCGCGGAGCCTGGAAGAAGCTGACAAGGTATCTATAGGGGGAACACGCCCGGCTGCCGGGAACGGCGCAGCCGGCGCATCCCTCTCCGTCCGGCTTCTCCGGGCGCTTCCCTGCCGAATCAACGTGCCCCTGCCTGGACTTGGCTCGGATGCAGCACTGCCTGTTTCCTACGGGAGGAGCCCGTTAGATGAGCTGTGAAACATAAACACGGGGACCCCAAGAGCCAGCTCGGCCCCTCCTGCCAGCGCCGCACGAAGCGTTTCCCCTCCACTTAGGGATGTGTCTCCCTCTCCTCCTTTCCCGAGTAGCAGGTTGCTGTGAAGATGTGCTCAGGTGGGTTTCTCAGAACTACATCATCCTCCATCCTCCTAAGAGCCAGCCTGATATTCCAGAGCCTAAAAATAGAAGAAATAAGTTCTGAAACTCTCCCTCCAAGTCAAATCCAGGTGGTCTGTTGGGATAGTTATCTACAAAGGACTTGCAGACAGCAGAGGAAAAGAGACCACCAGAGTCTTGTTTCTGTAAACGGAATAGAATATTATTTAGATGTTTCAAGATTAGAGTCCTATACCAGCATCTGAAGCACTGTTTTTTTCTCCCAACTTTTCACACTATTATGCTGTTAAGACCTGCTTTTGTGGTAATGTAGGAAGAAATGAGGAAAAAGGAAAACAAAACACACAGCAGAAACCTCTTCATTGTTACTCATGACTCCTTTTCTGGCACTTGAGGCAGAAAATTAATTTATTGCTAGAAATACTTAAGAAGAGAATTACGGCTTACTTTACAGGAAGGCTACATCATTACTAATCCTTTAAGTGAAACTCATTCAACATATGGCACACTTACCATATAGCCTTTGGAGTTGAAAAAGAAATCCTTCTCTCCACCTGACATTTTTCCACTATGTATTATAAATTAGAAGCTCTAGCTCAAGGCTTTTATAGTAATTAAATGAGGATTAGACTATTAGAAAAAGTCACATGGAAAATTTAGAGACACTTTCAGTCTGATGAAGTGTATCCAGATTGCTGAGAAAAGTCTGTTCTGTAGAGCTCAACAGCTGTATTTTAGTAAATGTCCAGCTTTCAATTTTGAGAAGAAATGACTTCATATTTTTATCAAACTGCAACCAGGTTTGGGACTTAGATTGCAGAGAGAAGCAAGGTTATTTCTGTACATTAAAGATAATCCTATTTTTCCTTTTTTTTTTTTTTTTTTAGGATGTTTTGCAAGAGACCTGCACCCAGGAAGTTGCTTCTTACTTCAGACTATATAAACCATACATCCATTCACAGAAATATATTGAGTTCTACAAAAACCATCTCAGACAGACATGAGAAGACCATGTACAAGTAAAGAAGGTATCAGAGTGGTTATTCTGAGAGGACCCAATGCAGGAAGAGTGCTGAATAGGCCCAGATGCCTCCCCTAATGCGGACAACCCAAATGCCACCATCACACCTTCTCCGTCAATTATTCTCAACATTCTCTGTCTCCTTAATTATTCTCAACAGATACAACCAAATACAATCTCCTCTTGTTCATAAACAAGCTAAAACATGTTCGCCAGCTCACCGGCTGACGAGCTCTTCGAATTCCTTTGCAAGTGCTGAACTGTCAGACTTACAACTTCCTGAACAGAAAATAGCATTTATACAAAACAGATTAATATATATATAATACATATATACAGCTAAGAGCAGCAATACACTGATGGCACAGCACACAGCCAAACGATATCTCTTCTGTATTAAAAAATGCACAAGTTTTTAGATGCTTTCAAGTCGCAAATCCAACCCACGTTTCCAACTGCAGTCCAAGCACAATTCACCACCAGAGCAGAGCTCATGCTGTGCTTATGTCACCCCTCGGCAGGACGTTATTCAGTTGGCTTCAAATCTCAGAAATTAATCTGCAAAATATTTTTGGAAGCAGAAAGAACTCATCTGTACGTCTTGCTTTGTGCTTATCCCCCATAACTGACCTGCGGCTGAGCAGCAAGACACCCCTATGTAACTGCAGGAAGCAACTTTCCAACCGAGAGGAGCTGCAAGCAAATCCCGTGGGAAGCGCCCAGCGCCTGGATCCTTGCGGGCGCCCCTTCTGCAGCACAAGATGCTCCCAATCTGTATTTTGTAACACCTGGAGAAGGTGCCTCGCTCCTAGGGATTGGACTAAGTGCTCTCCAGAGGTCCCTTCCAACCTTGGCTAAAAAGATAATAAATAAATAAGTAAATAATCACCGAAAGACCGCTAATAAACCCTAAAATTTGCCCTCGGATCACTTGCACATTGTGAAATAAACACATATGCAACATGCCCATGTTTTGATATGTATTTTTATTTCCCTGCAGTTTTCACTTATCAAGAACAAGTAACAGGGAAAGTTGTCTGAACTAGTGCATAAACAAACATTCTGAAACACCACTACACGTATCTAATTTACAAGAACCGTATAAAAAAAGTCACTAAAACACTACACTACGAAGGTGTCCAACGCTTACAGTCAGACTTTTTCCAACCCGTTACTTGCCTTGTAGCCACAGGAAAACTCTCCAAAATCGAAAAGACAATCTTGCCACAACCCTCCCTCCCCCCCACCACCTGGGATGGCTCGATATCTAGACATCCAATAATTATTGCAATGATATATAATGCAATACATACCTGGTAAAATATCCTTTATGTGGTGTGTTACAGTTTTAAAGCCGGTTAAAATATGCAGTCTCCGGATAAAATGTAATCAGTTGAAAATTTTCTCATATCTGCACAATTTAATATGTGCTAGATGCATAATTTTCCTAGACAGTTTTTTTTTCCTGTGTAATTATTTTTTATAAACTGGTATTATAAATAGAAATATACATTCAAAATATATGGAAAAGTGAGTTACTACATTAAATTTGCATGTATCGATCCATCCCTTTCCCCTGCACAGTAATAGAAAATACTATTTTGCCTTGAACTTCATATTTGACAGTGAAATGCCACTAAAGTATTTACCAAAAAGTCCATCTAGTCAAATTGTGAAACAAAATGAACCAAGTGAAAACTTTACATTTCCTTTAGAAAAAAATTACAAGAATTTTGTTTCCTAGCTATGAATCTTTAACTTTTTTTTTAGACACAAAGTTGGATTTATTTGTACAAGATACAAAATGTAAACATGGCAAAATAAATAGTTAAAACAAGTGATGCAGGATCCCATTTCATGCTCATGATCCCATTAAAGAATTATTTTTTTAATCCATTCAGTTGCAAATTCAAGTGCAAAAGCATGATGATGAATATCTACTATTCAAGTAACAGAAATAATATTGATGATACAAATAAACTATTTTACAAGGTAGTGATTTTCCCAATTTTACAAAATTTACATTATATATCGACTTAATATACGATATAATGATAGTCCATTTAGGTCCATTTTAGTTCTCTGTGATCCACAGAGTGCTGTATTTTGCATTCAGTTGGAATATAAATGACTACACCGTTAGCACAGGTTGAGACACTGGTTTGAGGTTATGTCACTTCCATTGCTACTGTTGTCTCTGCTATGCCATTTAAACCCAGTCGTTCTGGTTCATGGTTCTCTCTGCAATAAAACAAAAAATTCAATAATTACAAGCAGAGCATTAATATTTCCTTATGCAAGTTCAATTACTTCTTACAGGTATTATGTGTTTCTACAAAGCTGTTACTAAGATCAGGGACAAAACTTTAACATATACAATGGACGGGTAGAAACAGATTTTTCCCTTTAAAACTAAATACTGGCATTTAAGAGCTATTTTTCCTCCAAGAGGATTGCCACCCTTTCTATAAAATTATTAATATAGTCCATTTTTATTGCGCATCTCTTATCAGCTTAAGCTATGGGTAAGCGTACTAAAAAGTCTCTTTAGAAAAGCATAGCCAAGAAATGCTCCAATGCCTCAGTATCAATTATCGAATCATTCTGTTGTGAGCAAAACATTGCTCTAACATGATTGTTTTTCGGTTCTGTTTCTCGCTTTTTCTAGATTTGCCCCTGCTTTTCTCTGTCCACAAGCACAAGACTTAGCTAGGAGGAAGGCACTGCTTTAAACAGCGACTCAAAAGTCTGACCTAAGGGAAAAAAAAAGCTAATCGCACTAATGATTCAAAGAGTGTTTCAAGGTGTGATTGCTGTTTTAAAAATACCTTTTCCCCAGTGTACACAGAGACTAAGTTAGCCATACAATTTTTCACCTCAAAACCCCTTTTTAACGTCTCTAAAAAACCAGTCTCATGAAACAGTCAGCAGGCCACGCTGACTGATGTCTTTTTCCTACTTTTCCAATTCATAAACAAATGCAACTTGCATGGCATAATACAAAGACCTTTGAAATGAAGCCCAAATACTGGAATTTTCAGGTAGCATTATGCAAGTGTTATCCTGTGTAATACCCATTAAGGATCCTGAAATGACAGCGCCTCAGCTGGCCAAAGGGAATAAACATAAAAATCGTTACTGGACACGTGCCAGGCTGCATCTCGTGCTCAGTGTCCCCAGCGCGCTGGCGAGACCCTTCGCACAGCTTGGGAGCACCTCTTGGAAGGTGCCCCAGGACAGGGCACAAAGAAAAGCAGCTAAAAAGGAAGCCAATTTAAACAAAACCGAAGTTTACCAAAAGCAGCGTGCCCAGTGTAAACATAAATGACTTGGATCACCGCTCACCGCGTGAGCTCTTAGGGCTCCTCACAGCCACGGTGGAGATGAGAACACGCAGCTTCATGTTTTTGAGAGGGCAATGGTGTATCAGAAATCTCTTGGAAAAGAGCGCTTCAATTCAGCGCTCTGCTGCAGATGGGGTCAGGTCTATAGAGGCATTTGCACAACGTAAAGGCAACATGAGGTGTGGTGCAGCTTGGCCCCTACCTTGCTATACTGCTGATGGCACTGCTCGGAGTCACCTTTGGCACTCTGTCCATACTGGCAGCAACTGTGGCGAGTTTTAAGGCTGTTGGCGACGGTGCTGAAGTCCTTGTATTGATATGCACATTGACTGGAGACACCACGCTCACGTTGTTGAGATGCACGGCGTTGCTCAGGCAGGAATTGTTCATGGGCAGCGGCTGCGGGCTGCTTGTGCACAACGCGGGGATCAAGTGGTTTGTGGTGGTGTGGCCGACTGTCCTTACAAGCTGCACAGCTGAAATCCCTGGGCTGGATGATAAAGCCATGTTGGTGGAGTACAAAGTTCTGGAGGTTCCTGTTACAAAACAAATGTTACCAATTAAAAAAAAAAGCTGGTACTTAATCCCAAAGCCAAAGATTCCCCTCAAGGGTAATGTTTTAATTACATGTGTCAGTGGCACAGTGCAAGAATCTGCTTTTTATAGTCAATAATGTGAAGTTTTAAAACCATTTCCAGTCAATCCCAGAATTCTTTCATAGCTTTTTCATTCACAAAAACAACAGAAAGAAATTGCTACTGTATCACAGACAACATTTGTACTGTCCAACTTTATGCACCTCATTTTAAGGGCCTGAAAGGGGCAGCATTTCCCATAAAACGGATTCTGACTTTTAAGATGTCCTTCTATCCTAGATGGCCACAGCTACCCATCCTACATCACTCCTACTTGGGACTGTCTAATTTTACATGCATAATATTGCAAAAGGGTTTTCATCAACTACAAAGCTGTGTTCCTGGTATCACAGTGGCAAACTGATGTACCTTTGCCTTATTTTGTACCCCTCAAACTGGTACCCTCTCAGAAGAAGAGTTTTCTTTTTCTTTCCTGGGACTGTTCCAGAATATTGACTTCATTCAGCTGCCTTTCTATCCCCTCCATTCATTCTATTTTATCATTAAAATGCCCCGGCCTTCATCAGCTGTTGGACACCACATTACTGCAAAAGCCTGTGACAGCAGGGAGATTCCAACCAAATGTGTCTCAGCACCACGATGCGGCCGCGCCGCGCACTGACGAGGGCCGTGCGGGGCTGTGTGAGCAGAGGGCAGCAAACACCTGTGTGCACTCTTCTTATTCCAATCTGGGAGGCATTTAAATGCAACAAGATCCAATACTTAGAGCAGTTCTTTTAATATTGCTTCAAGTGCTTGATTTTTTGTAACTTTTCAATTTGCCTTTCAGATAATGAAAGGGATTTTTAAAGCATTTTTAACAACTGATGCTGTTTTAATTGCACATTCACACTGATTCTAGGATGCTATTGCCTGCATTTTTTATTTCAAACACTCTTATAATATAAAGCCTACCAAAAAGCCCAAAAACGCTGCTCTTCCAAATGCAGAGGAGCTCTCAGTAGCTCCTCTTCCAGTAGCTGCTCTTCCAAGTGCAGAGGAGCGCTCAGTAGCTTAACTATTGCATTAACCGGAATGCCACTGCACAGAACTATTTTAAAGGGTTGCAGAGAACAACACTGGAAGCTGTGGCTATCGATAAGGATAAAACACATGATTTTTGAAACGCGGCGAAGTGGGCGCTGGCCGAGTCCAGCGTTTTGGACAGGCAGTCGGAGGAGCTGGAGCCCTGCCGGGACGGGGACAGCACAAAACACCGCGGAGGGATCAGTACAGTGCAAAGCTAACGGAGATATCAGAACATAACACATGCCTCTGGCTTCTATAGGGGAAGGGAAGGAATAAACACCTAAGGCTCTCTTTTGCCCCTCAGGAACTACCAACTTTTCACATTCATTCACATTTTCGCTCATAGCAGGGATGTTACTTCATAAAGTAGTTTGTTCAAACAAGTGTTCTTCAGAGCACGTTCACACAGAAGGATAAGGAGCATGAAAACAGTTTGTATTCGGGTTTCTTCTCTGGCTCCCAGTTCTGGGGGTACCAGTGTGAACAGAGCACCAGTCAATGTATTTAACTACTAAACACAAACATAATATATACTAATCCTCACTTGAAAGGGAGAAGTAGCATAAGAGAATTCCTGTTTTCAGATATAAGCCAGAGTTGCACATAAAAAAAAATAAAAAGGAAAAAAAAGGTTTGATTTTGAAGCTTAAAATATTAACTCATTCAGCAAAAGAAGAAAAAAAGCCAAGTATCCAGAGTGGTCAGAGTATACAAAACCTTTCAGGTAATATACATCAAACTGGAAAGAAAAACACCTAGCCCTAAGCCCACTCTATATTGCCCTATACCCATCCTAAAATTCAATGTATTGAAGTGCTACATTTAGCCTATATTAGAGCTGATGAGCACAGTAAGCAGAAGGGAAGGGAGCATGTATTAAAGGAGTAGAGAGGAGGATGCAAAGAGCCCTTGGCAGGTGCCTCACCTGTGCTTTTGGATGCGCCTGTTGCGAGGAATGCTGCGATTGCTGCTTCTGCTGCAGCTGAGCCAGCTGCTGCCTCTGCATTTGAACTAACTGCTGTTGATGCGTCTGAAACTGCTCCTCCGTGATACCCCCCGTCACTGTGGAAAAAGAAAACCACCGCAGGGTTAGGTGTTTGTGTCTTGGGCAGACTCATTTAAAAGGAAACTATGGCTATGGCCGTCATTTCTGTTATTGCATGTCAAATGAAGCTCTACCACAGCCACATCAGCCTGGTGGCGTCCCTCACAAAGCACTGCTTATTCAAGAGAAAAAGGTGACCTGTTCCTGAAAATGTGGGAAAGGAGTTCTACATATCCTAGAAATTGCAGCTGAGGAAGAAGCCACTACACTGAATCCAGCCGGGTTTCTTCTCTGGCTCCCAGTTCTGGGGGTACCAGTGTGAACAGAGCACCAGTCAATGTATTTAACTACTAAACACAAACATAATATATACTAATCCTCACTTGAAAGGGAGAAGAATTAATACACAATGGCAAAACCAACCTTCAGATCTAAAACATAATACATGTGCAAATAATACAAAGCACTGCTTGCGCTCGCAAATCTAGGCTGACCTTCAAATTAAAACTTAAAGCATTTCAAAAACAAACAAACAAAGCTACAACCCACAACAAAACACAGAACTACCAAACCAAAACATCAGGAAGTTTCACCTGAACAGCATTTTCTACTCCCCTTAAACCTTCCTTTTTTTAATTGAAGTATTAACTTAGGAGTGCCTTAAATTTGTCCATTTGCATAATTTTTGTCCAAGCATAATTTTTGCTTGTAAGCCCAGTAATATCAAACTCCCAGAACTGAAGGGTGAAGGAAGAAAAGCTCTTTTCTTTCCCTTATTTATTTATTTATTTTTACAAGAAACAGCACATATGGTAAATCAAAACCACTGTCAAATCTTTGACACTAAACCAGAGTTTTGTGCAATCTATGCTAACCTGAGAATAAGTTTTTGTGAGCAAGACACTTCACTTTTCAAAGATTCCCATTTTTCCCCAAATATTCCCATTCCCAATACATTTTAGCATTTTATTTTGAACGACATTTTTCACAGACTAAGTTGCCATTCATCTCAAATCTCCATATTCTGCAGGAAAACCATCTTATCAACAGACACCAGAGTAACCATCAAGGACAAGTTGTCGTCTTGCAGAGCCTGTTTAAATTCCACCCAGTTCAGCTCCTATCACCTGATGAATATTCAGCAGTCGGACTGAATTCAACTTTACCCCGTTATAGAGCAGCACATGTTTATTATTACATTTAAGTACCATTTGCTTCTGCCAGGGTAACAACTGGAGAGTCCTACAGGAGATCAACTTCCAGCAGCCCACATCCCAGGTCTTTAAGGTCACTGGTAGGTGCAAGAGTTTTAACGCTTTTGGCAAAAGGCTCTTTTACCAATTCGGAGTTTCTGAATTCAAGATCTTCCTAGTGGCATTTCGGTACAGTTAGACAACAGGAAAACATAAAAAGTCAATGTGAAATTAATCGCCTTTTAGTCTGCACTCCTGGTTAGCTTTGGTTTAGATGCCACTTCTCTTAGGAATGAAGGCTTTAATCAAAGGTATCCTTCACGCTGCCCCCAAATAATCCAATTCAATCATCTAATTACCTCTACATTGTGTTTCACTCTAAAATAGAGGAGAAAACAAAAAAGAAAGAAAAAAATCCTCTACAAAAGGCCAATGCTCAAGGCATAAGCAGAGGTGAGGTGCTGGCCACGGGCTGCAGGTCTTGTCTACATGCAGGGGACGGGGTGACTAAAGCCCCATGGTGAGCGGTGACCAGCCCTCGCTTCGGCCACCACGGCCAGGGGATTAAGCTGAATACAACGTGCGGTGGATACTACATTTTTTGCCTGAAAATCGCCTCTTATCTTCAGCCTCCAAAGTCCCCAGAGCTGCACATGACATTCACTCCAGGAATTAAGCAAACCAGTGAAGAACCAGCTCGCTGCCATAACCCATATCACCGATCAAACTCCTGGTAACTTCTGGTAACTCCAGCACTCATGCTCATCTCTCCTGCATCCCCACGGTTTATGCGGCTGTAGAACCCTTCCAGAGGCAGCCTTCCCAAGGAGATCCCAACCTGCTTGCCCAGATATGGTGCACAAGCTACAAAAGAGCTTCCACGAGTGCTCAGCGGGGCAGGTGGGTTCTGAATCCCATCTCAAAGCTTCCTCTAATTCAGGTCCCCACCTGCACTTACTGTAACAAGGGCAAGAGAACAAGTTAGCTGGAAACAGCAGATCTTTATTCACACGCTGCTCCGGCACGCTCCAGAAAATACCTGTCATACATTTATTTCAGAATAAAGCTTATTCTTAGGCAGGACAATACCTTAGCATTTGAGGAAATGCCAAAGTAGATGCTTTCTTAATACAAATGGATATATAATACAGAATTTATTTTAAATATTCTTGTGCATTGACTACTAAAGCAAGATGCTCTGTACCCTCTCTATGCTGAAGAAATAATCTTTTTTAAAAAGAATACTAACAATAAATAAATAAATCAACTTAACCTGCGGGTTTCCTCTAGGAGCAGGATGTTACGGATAAACCTGTCACCAATGAGGTGCTGCCTTCCCGCACGCGCAGCCTCGGCCAGCCCTGCTGGTGTCCTCACCACTCAGCAAGGAGCAAACCCGAGGGGGCACTGCCTCTTGTTGGCTCGATTCCTGTTTGGCAAGTGATTTTGCCAAGTCTACCAGAACAACAAGGTCTGTTCTGTCATCTGAATCTGCAAATCCGTCCCCCATAGCCATAAATTTCTCCATAACACACTGTACGTACTATATTTTTATAGAGCACTGAATGAATGCTCTTCTCATCCTCATGTAATCTTCGGGGAGACTTCAGGGATTAATACAACAGACTCCCAAAGTTACACATCAAATTTGTTTTTTAAGCTATTTTTTTCTCCTTACTGTCTGTCCTGTCCCACATGTATCTCTCTACCTCTTAATTTATTTTTCTTTCCAAAACAAATCCTGAGGTGCATAAGTGCTATTCCATGTGTTTTCATCACTTGTGTTTAATTTAGTATATAGCACCAGAAAATACGTTCTTTATTCTTGTTGACCTTTTTTTCTTTTTCTTTTTCTCTTTTAAGAAAATGTCAACGCAACTCCCTACCCAAGGGAAGGGCATCCTTTCATTGAACACAGCACTGAGGCCTTGCTCTCCTTTTTATTTCCTTTGGATACCATCAGTCCTCTGACTACGGAAGATCTTTCTGGTGATGTTTACTTCTTCATTTCTACTCAAGGCAGGCACAGAGATTTCACAATCTCTTCAACTTTTTTTCCTTCACTTAGAAGGAAAGACTTAAGACTTAAAAAAGTCTTTCCAAAACAGCATAAGTCTTGAAGGCCCTGAAATTTTTACATTTAATTCATCATACGGAAACCCTGTCATATTTGCTGGCTTCCACCACACAAGGAACTATCAGCTACTACTTTGTTGCTCACAGCCTTTCGCTTTGCCCCCCATATCCTGAACTGACAAGCAGTATTCACTCATGCCTCCCATTTTCTGCATTTGCTCCAAGAGCAAATCTCCTGGCAATGATCCCATTGCAGAGCAGCCCCCGTGCTATAGGTGCAGGGCTGCAGCCATTTACATTCCTCGCAGACAACCCTGCCCTTTACACTCTCTCTTCATACATTCAAAGGGTTCCTGTGCAAAAGCCTTCATGAGAGGAAGAGCAATATAAAGGCTACAATGACTACAATTAAAAATAAACTGTGTGTAAAAAATACTAGGCTGTAAAAAATGTTCTGTGCATATGTCACTAGGATACTGGCATTATGAAATGCTACTGATAAATCTTAAAATGGTAATTGAAAGAAAACTGCTTTTGTCTTCGTGAAATTTAGTTTCTATACATGAATTTCTGCACACGAATTTCCCAAATTCTTTAGAGAGACACTGTGATACATCCACACAAAAGTTAATTGCAGGATTCAGGATCAGCCTGTTATCTCATTACCCTGTTTTACTTCCACACATTCAAGAGTGGGAGAAGATTCCAATGCCTGCTGGTGCTTGGTAATAGATGTCTTCTGGCAGCTCCCCAATTAACCACTATTTAAAGCACTATGCACTCTTTTATCAGGATAAAAAAGTTACATTGTTAAAAATTATGTAATTAAAAGCTCCTAATACAGGAAGCAAGTAAGATTGCCCTTAAGCTTTTTGGGTTGTGGGAGGTTTTATTCCAACTTTAGAGTAGCTTCTATATTGAAAACACACACACACAGAATGAGTACCCACAGGTATCAGAGCAGTAGTGCCTAGATTTCACACTCATGTGAAGATGCTACAGGGTTGTTCCCCCACCCTTATAAAGCCACCTCTCTTTCACTTGCTGTCTTGCTCATCTGGAGCAATCGTTTTATAAGCCAAATGGTAAAAGACATCTCGGCTTGCTATAAAGAGTTGGAGATCATCTTTAAAAAGAAGAAAAAAAATCTATCAATCCGTGGCTGCTGATTTTGTGACAATCCTTACAGCACACCCAGCAAGATCTGACTTCCACTTGCCATCGACTTTACCATGTGCCCTATGCTCACTGCTCAGCTGTGATTGGCACACAACAGTTTTAGTGTGAGAGGATACAGAAAAACATAGAGAATAATTACCCAAGGGTAAAGAGCAAAAGCATTATGCTTTTTCAATTATAATGTTTATAGCAGTCCAAGACACAGCCCACAAAAGTCCCATCATGTATTTAATATATACCAAAACGGGGTCTGATGAATAGCAGCACCTACGAGGATTATGCTGTATTACCTGCCTCTCCTGTTCCCGTGGGATGACTTGGCAAAGCCGTGCCCTCGCCCTTTCCCCAACCCCTCGGCCCATCAGCACGGAGTGTGGATTAGGCAACACACTGCACCCCAGGGGCACAAACACACGGCTTCCTTGAGGCAAGGAACTTCCTTGGGATGTGTCACCGTGTGCCTGACGAGCACCTCCTGCTCCGAGAGCCTTAACTGGGGCCTATCCAGCACGGTCAATTACCAGCCCAAAAGCTGCTCTGCAGCCTCGGGCAGCGGAGGCAGCTGTTGAGGTAGCGTTCAGAAGCCAGAGGCGACTCCACGCTGCTGTTGTAAAGATCCTCAACAGTGTCAGATCACAGCAGACTCTGGATTATGGATGTCATGCTACGGTGCAGTACGCCCCAACGTTTCAGGGCAGAGGTTCAACGACTGCTACCAGAGGGGGACACATCAATGATCCACTTAAGAGAACTCTGCAACAGGAGACATTAGAAACGAAGAACGCAGGGAAAGAAGGTGTTAAAGCGCCAGAGCAAGCCCCCAGAGAAGCTCAGCTTACACTTCTCTCCCGATGTCTAAGGAGATTTGGGACAAGACTGGAAAGTACACTTGGATGAGCAAAACTAGGATTCAGCATGAATCTGGAGCACTGTTTCTGAATCTTTATGCCTTGATTAATAGATATAACAGTCATTCATATCAGGAAGCCACCAGGCCCTGAGCTCAGAACTCAGAGCAAGTCAGCCCCAATCCAAATGCTATGTTAGACGAGTGCTATCGACCCTGCCGCTTCCCGAGTGGCATCCCGGGCCTAAAGGTTACTGTACCAGAAATGGAAGGAGCGCGTGAGGAATTTCACAAAAGGTGCATCGAAATTCTCAACAGGACAGGCAGGAGCAGCAAACACTGGTTTCCAATTCCTTTAGGCTGCTCAGTATGTTTACTAATTCAGTACTGAGATATTTTGAGAAAACAAAGAAACAAAATACCACAGACAATTCCTCCCACCAAACCAGAACAAAAACCACTCTGTTTTGCTTTTGTATCTACAGAAATCATTCTTTTCTCAAATGAGGTTAGACCAATAAACGTCTTTACAACTCAAAGAGTATGTGTATCAGAAATCTATAAATACAAGCAAAACCTCTGTGTTATTCAACATAACTCTTGGCACTTTATCAAGGTTCAGCACCTCAAGCTGCAATTATAGCAGGGGGAGTGGAAAAAAAAAAAAAAAAAACCTGCATCTTAGAGGAAAAACAAAAATAATTAGCTTGCAGCTTGGGGCAACTTCACACATCAATTACTGAAGACGTTACCAGACTAGACCCAAGGAAAGCACTGGAATTTAATAATTTAAATTCCACATAAATTCAAATCCTTGCCTACCTGATATGCCATTCTTGCTGGTGTTCAATAAAGCTACAGATGCTGCAGAAACTCTTTTATTATTCACAGTCTGCCCTGGTTTCCTTGAGGTACATTCTTCACTATCACTGTCCTGGAGATTTAGTAGCCTTGGCTGAAAACACTGCAGTCGACATGATCTGATATTGCTTAGTATTTCAGAAAGGGACAGTCTGCTTTCACAATGTTTATTGGAAGTATTGGTCCGTGAAAAATTAGAAGAAAAGTCTAAAGTCTGGGAAGAGCTTGAAGAACCACTCAGCATTTCCGGGTCAATCTGCCTCAAGACAGGATCATGCTCTGTAGATATTCGGTCCATTAAAACCCTGAATCAAGTGGACACAGAAAATATAAAATTCAATTAACTCTAATATTCATACATTTTGAAAGGAACAGAGTAAAAATAATGCAGCTTTACCTTCCACCCCTGCCAACCCGTCTTCTTGCAAATCCTATACATCTCCTTGGAATTGTAAGGGTTGTAAGGCAATGCCTGAACCTCAGCTTGTCCAAGTCTGCCAATTCTGAATTTTCATATGAAGAGTTAGCTTGGTCCAAACGAGGCTGCGGAGAAAAAAGAAAAGGCAATTTTGTATTAATTTGGAGTCTGTACTTTGGTCAAGCAAGATTTAATAAGCGATTTAATAAGCCCAATCTACGTGATCGTTCCAAACATGCTGAAAATAGACAAGTATCTCATATTAGAAGATAACTTGGAATTTTTGTGGAAAAAAAATAAGGTATGAATTTGTGCTGCAAAATATCCTTTTCGCTTGATTACACATGAAACAAAACAAAAAATATAAAGCATTGCAACCAAAATGCAGGTCAGAATTCATTCAGTCTACTAATAAGCACATAAAACCGCCCTGCTTGAACAGATGAAAGTCTATCTGACCTGAAATCTTTTGGCTGATCATAGCTGGTTTGGTCATTTGACAAAAACTACAAAACACAGTGCCTATGGAATGATCCTCTCCTTGTTCCAGGCTCTCTGCAGCACAGGCTGCGGTCCCGACCGTGCTGCAGCCTCGGCTCAGCCTGCGGGAAATGGCCCATGCCCTTCAGCGAGGGGCAGCGCTGCCAAAAGTTTTCTCTTTAATAAAAAGTTTATGAAAAACCTATTGCCAAAAGGTAGCAGAAGTCCATTTTAATGACCTTTGCGCTGGTACAGAGCAGCCAATTACAAGACCTTGAGAATGCATTAGCACATAAAACCGCCCTGCTCGAACAGATGAAAGTCTATCTGACCTGAAATCTTTTGGCTGATCATAGCTGGTTTGGTCATTTGACAAAAACTATAAAACACAGTGCCTATGGAATGATCCTCTCCTTGTTCCAGGCTCTCCGCAGAACAGGCTGCGGTCCTGACTGTGCTGCAGCCTCAGTCCAGCCTGTGGGAAACGGCCCATGCCCTTCAGTGAGGGGCAGCGCTGCCAAAAGTTTTCTCTTTAATAAAAAGTTTATGAAAAACCTATTGCCAAAAGGTAGCAGAAGTCCATTTTAATGACCTTTGCGCTGGTACAGAGCAGCCAATTACAAGACCTTGAGAATGCATTTGCTGGTGTATAACTACCTTAGGGTGTTTTATTTAATCCATGAAAATACTCATTATTATAAACTCAGAACTGCATAATCTTTACAGATGAAAATGCTGTGTACAATCTGAGATGCTTTACATAGTAATAACAATTTTCATGAACAAGTTAAACATGTACAACAGTAAAGCTGATGATTAAAACACAAATGGTTTCAGAGAAAAAAAAGAACAAAAACAAAGAATTGCCAAAACACTCAATTCCATATAAATCAATATCTTAAAGATTCCACTACTAAGTCTTCAAAAAAGAATATAGTAGCAAGATATTTTTGAAGAAATCTAGTAGTAGGACAGAAACACACGCTATAATCAGCGTATCTACAAAGTGTTTTGACTTCTGAAACTACCTACCAGGTACCTGTCTTCTCTACTGAATTACAAGCAGTCTTAACGACTATGCAATTACCACAGTATTTTGGTACCTAACTTCTCCAGTCCTCCAATGAGGCAAGCAAAGAAAAAGCAAGCCCGTTATAGTACTGTGCTTATCTCTGCTAGCTCTCTGTAGCCAACAGCTCCCAGTCCCTAAGCATGTGCTTAAAAAATTCCATATGGTTCTGAGATTATGATAGAATATCTGTAATTAGGCCCAGATCCCTGCTCACTGCTGCAATATCAACCAAGCGTTTTTCAGTATACTTAACAGCTTGCTCTAATTTCAAAATAAAATTTTGGCATGCAATAAAATGCCTTAAACCCCTCTGCTTCGATAGCATATTCGACTCAAGGCCCCAGGAGGGTTTCTCAAACAGGGCTGGCAACCGAGACAAGGAGAACCTAACAAGCTCCTAAAGCTGAGGAAAAAGGATTTGCTAGTAAAACTTGGGGCAGGTAAGATGTAATTCTCTTAACAGTGGCTGAATCAGTCTGCTGCCTGTGCGATGTGTTATTTACCAGTTACCACAAACGGACAGTATAGAGAAAAAAACTCTTGTAAAAAACTCAATGTTTTTCTTTTGAATCACCAAGTGAGTAGAGCTGTGGGGCTGGAAGTGGGAATAGGAGAAAATACCAGATTACCATTAAGTCAGTTTATATCTGTATCTATTTATGTGCGTGCGCGCATTTGTGTGTATTTATACACACACACACATATGTAAAATAAGCATAGTGAATTCAGTAACAGATAGTCTTACAGCATAATACTGGCATCCTGCTCTTCTCCTGAAAGCACAAGGTCCATCAGGATCATTTTCTTCTTCTGCTTCTGATACTGGTGAGGGTACCTAAACCAGAAAACAAAGTCATTTTTCCAAGTGCTACATTTAAAAGAAGTGTTTTAAGGGACTTTAAACACATTATTAATGAGGTACAGCTAGAAAACCGTAATCCCTTTTTGATTTTATTAAGTTTAAAAAAAAAAGTAAAAATCAACTAAGCTAACAAGTTTTTCATTCATATTTAAGAGAGATTGTAAAAGAAAATGGCAATATATGTTAATGCTATCATCAAAAGACAGGTCAGTTAACTGCCAATGCTTTTATTTAAACAGCTAGAGCATAACCATTGCAAAGACCATCTGCAGATTAGAGAAAAAAAAAAATCACCAGAAGAAAGAAAATCACCAATTTCCCAGTTAGGGAGAAAAATATTTGATAACATGTTCTTTTGATAACATGTTAATTTGGGGTCTGTATTCTTCAAAATACTGTGGAAAAATCCTTAAAATGAAAGCTTATAAAAATGCAGTTTACAAAATAAATAAAAAACGTGAATAGTTTATGCAAATGTCCTATATATCAAAATATCTATTTAACAGTCGCTCTTCATCTACTGTTAAAAGTTCAAATGAGAGTTTTTCAAGCTGGACTAAGTTACAGATAATTTAATATTGCCTCTTCTGTAAGTCAGAATTTTGTAATAAAGTGTCACCTGTGGGAACTCATCTTCGTCTGAACTGTGGAAGTCATACTGTTTAATATCGCTCTTATTGACAGCAGGCAAGGGCTCAGTAGAAGGCTGTTGAGCAGTTACCACACACTCTAATTTAGGTTTCTTTAGGTATTTCTTCTTTTGGCGTACAACATCCGACACCTCCTCCTTTAGAGATGAATGATGAGGATGCTGTTAATGAAAAACAAACAAGGAAGAAAAAAAAAGTTATTTAGTTGTTTCATCTTCTTATGTCTCAGAAGGAAATGACTTGTACTTCAGTGCCTTTTAGCATATGGCATCTGCTGAGTGCTTCAATAGATAAAGATTTATTCCAATCAGAACTTCATCTGTGACTGTCTTTACTTATTAATAAACAAAAAACCTATCCTTTCAGGTACACGACTATATGAAGTAAATTCCTTCCACTGTAGGAAGTGCAGTATTTACCATCGTGAGACATCCTATTGCAGTTATCTCCCAACACCTCAGTTTGCTAAGCCAAGGACTTGTAATTTTCTTAACTGCTGAAGTTCCTTTGGAAGGAAGTCTTATTTGTTCAGTGTTTCCCACATCATTTTTCTTTCTAAAGGATTTTCCTGTTATCAGTTTTTGAGTTTTTGCTTCTCCCTTGTAGATTTTGTTAATGCTAACCCTCTAGAATAAGCAATTGAGTTGATATTGAACACCATCCATGTTCAAGTGAGCAATTTAATTTCAAAGCTTTCAAATCTATTTACAATTTTAGATTAATTTGCATTTGCACAAAACCTTCGAGAAAAATCTTGCATTAAAAAAAAAAATCTTAAATTGCCCCCAATTACCACTTGTCAATAATCACTCAACTAAAACCAGCTCCAGGAACAAAGCTCAGCTTCCCTACAGGCCATGTGCAAAGTAAGGCAGAATAAAATCCCTGCAGAGTACGGAGCTTACAAACGTGTATTTAATCCACTGAACACTAGGTGTCGCAGGCGTTAAATTAAAAACTTCCAAGAGGCCTCCAGACTTCCAGTCTGATTCCCAACATTTTAGAACAGTCACTTCTCCAAAGAAGCACATGCTAATTCTAATCCGTGTGATTAGACTCCAATAACAGCCCTCCTGTCACCAGGATGCAAATGAAAATGGCTGATACTATCTCACAAGTGATTTGAATAATTAAAAAATGTCTAAGAAAGCAATGAACAAACGAAAGTTTTTGTTTTGCTACAGACAATTGATAGATCATGCCTCAGCATGCCTCCGACTGGTCTTTTTCTTTGAAACAATTTCTGATCATGATCCACATTATATACACATTAAACAAAAACAGGCTTTCCAATTACTGTAGAATAATAAAACAAATTCAAGTCTCACCACCCTGAAATGCTTGCCAGCCCATCTGATTCATTCTTACGTATTTAAAATGCAAGTTGACACTGCTACAGTTACATTTTCTTAGAAAGTTCAACATGTTCAAATGACTGGGGCAGGAAGTGGGGGAGCTGTTTGCTTTTTAAAGCAGCTCTTTGCTTTGTTAAACGTGGCTTTTGCTTTGTGCTACAGCACGGAGACATCCTCCTGGCTCAACTCCTCATTTTCCCCTACCCACCAGCTGAGGATGCTGCCTAAGGGAGGGCTGGCAGCAGAAGTGCAGGCTTTTCTCCCTGTAACGTCTGAGCCTTTTTCTGTCTTTTTTCCCCTCCCTTGTTCAGATACCTCAGCTACAATAACGACATTAAAATGGCTTGGGATGAGAAAAATGTTCTTATATAATATGACTATCTAGTACACCACAGTGGCATGTTTTAAAGCAGACAGAGCTGCTGAGGAAAACAAAAGATACTCAGAGTGCAAGTAACAAAGGAAATGTGGTATGAACAAGCAGAAAAAAAACAAAAACTAACAGTAACACAAGTACATTAAGGCTACGAGCATTAATTGCGAAACTAATTCTCTTAATTACATCTCTCAATTGGACAGAGTGGGTGGGAATCCTATTCTGAATTTCAAACCCCCAAACTAAGTTTGATGCATTTTTCAGCAGACAGGACCTTCTGTAAGCCGGTTATAGCTATAATGAGCTTTTTCACTCATTTCTATTTGAACTGCAGGCCACCACAGCCAACAAACAGTCATATGGCTAACCTTTGGAAGAAATATTTTAACTCTGCTCTGCACAGGTTATCCAGACTCTCCTCAGCTCAAGAAAAATTATTATCTGCAATGTTATAATTTGCCCAGTCAACATTTGTATCATATCTAAACATGAAGCTTCAGAGCTTCTAGCTATGAATTATTTTAATAATATTGGCTCTCCAGATGCTGCTAACAAGGCCAATTATAAAATTAGATACAAGTCACTGGGCTTCTGCGCGCGCACACACAAACACAAGATTGTAGAAGACTACTGACAAACAGCATGAAATTTCCTGAAGTGCAGCATACCGCAACTTTGCTAATTTTAGAATAAAATACCTAGTGTGGCATGCTGCAATTCAAGTCTTACCTCTCTGTGCTTGTTTTTAGAGTCTTACATCCTTTTGCAGAAATAAATGGTTCACAAACTTGTCCAACTTTTTCTTCCCTCCTACTGTTTGCTACCTTTTTTAAAAAAATACTAAAGGACAGCCAGGGGTAGGTATGAATACTTCTGCACAGTGCTCCTGAGAAGCACACAGCCTTAGTAATAACAAGTTACTACCACAAATTCCAGTGTTTTTAAAAATATAAGATGCCTACAGCTTTTTCAGCTGTTGACAAGATAACAGTTGCATTCTTCTGCCTGGAAATATGATTAGTATATGATCGCTTAAACTGTTCAGAGCAGCTTTATACAAAAAAAAAAAAAAAAAAAATCACTGTATAGTTTCACAATGGTCCTGACATCCATGTGAAGTGCTCATGTTTATGCCACTTGGACAAGAGAGACAGAACTGACAGAAGGAAAATGAAGACTTGTACAAGGTTCTTAAAAAGAGTCAAAACACCCATGGAACGAGAGACTTGCAGCAGCAGAAAGCTTACCTTAACTTTACATTCTTGAACCTTGTGATGGTTTCCATTATGAAGAGTGGATGGAGTTGTGCTCATCTCTTTTTCAGGTCTATTAAGTTTCACTTCGTTGAGGATTTCACCTCCATAATCACCCAGATGATACCTTTGAAAAGCAAAAAGAAAAGCCTGCATTCCCACTGCTTGTTTCATACTCCCAAAACATTTCCCAATCAGGCTACACAACCCCCTTCTATTTTAGCTTTCTAAAGTTTACAGTTATGCCTTCAGTCATGCCTGTGCAGAGGACTAGCATCCACAAAGAAACAAATTACTGGAATTGCTGCCAGATCTGCTGCACAAAAATAAATAACTTTGTTATAAATTACTTTATACAGATCTAATTTCCACTTTACCTCTTCTCTACAACTTCTAATGTTAAATGCAACAGCTCGCGCTTTGTTTTCTCTCTTCTCTTGATCATCTCCAAAATTGTTATGGCTCTGCTAAATTCTCTTCTTAATTTCAACATCTTCTCATAAGAAGCTTCATCATTCTTTCGATTCTATTGAAAGATTAAAGTTAAGTCAAAACCATAACCTGCGAGGCATAAACAGCACCAATTTAGGGAAAAAAAGAAAAAAAAATACATAAAGCTGCTGAAAGAACTGCATGATTACATTTGTAATAAGTTTTTCACAAGCATAAGTTATTTTGAACATGATATCATAAAAGATTTTTTTTTAATTAAGGTGAAAAAAGAACTCTTTGGTCATCTTCTCCATAATTTCTCTACTGAGATTTCTTATTGTCTATTGGAAACATGTCAAAACAACATATGCAAAACATGGTTCTTAATACTTCTTTCCACCTGCATTCTGCACACAGCAGAGTGCACATCTGTACAACGTTGATATTGAACAGGGAGTAGCTAAAGACTTCCCAGTTCCCACAAATACAAAACCGAGTTATTTGCTTCACAGCTAGTGGAAGAAAATCCCTCCCCCCATTCAAGAAGGGGAAGTTTAAAACCTTTAAAAGTCTCTGTTACCTATTTGTGTGCCAGTACCTATAAACTGGCACTGGACTTTCAACTTTCTAGAAAACGGACAAACTGCAAACTGCCTGTAGGACAAACTGATGGATTATAACCTCACTATATCATTTAACAAGCCTGAAGTTGACCTGGCCAACCCTGCCACTATTGAGAAACAGAACACTTGAGGCCCTGCAGGATTTAGAGTGACAATTTTAAAATGACAAGATTTAAACTAACAAGCGACTGATACATTACCTTTCTTGTTTGCATCTTCTCAGTTCTCCTCCGAAAGGCGACATAAGGGTCGTTGTTAGTAGAGCCATCCCTCTTCTCTTGTTTGATTTGGGGGATGAGAGATGGTCCTCTGCAATTCTTACGCTTTCTTACCCAGTAGTCGTATACAGCCTTAATAAGGTAATCATCTTCGTTTAGCAGCAATTTAGCTTCTTGAAGTGTTACAAGCTAAAAGAGAAAATTAAGAAGTGCTACTGAGATGAATACGTGGAGACAGGGGAGAAAAAGGTCTGTGTTTCTTCTAAACTTCCCAGATAAACTCATTCCCTTTTCAGCACAAGAGAGCAAAAGGAGAAAAAAAAATACTGATCTAAATCAAAGTACTTAGGCCAGTTGTCTTTGTAATTTCAAGACAGTTGCTAACTTTTCTGCATTTTTTTTCTCCTTCAAAACTCCATCTTCTTTAGCATAAAGCATTTTAACCTAATCCTTGCAAAGTCTCTTCAAAATGAGAACATTTTGGCCTCTAAACATATAGCTTCAAACTAAATCAGGATGAGTAATCAAGGTAGAACTACAGATTCTGCAAAGGATTTCTGATCCCAAAAAAAGTCTGTCCCACTTAAAAGAAATAATCACATCCACTTAAACTTGCCTTTCAGAACCCTCTTTTTCAGGTGTAAAATCTTCGAGCAACTCTTCAAGAATACTATTTTACACAGTCCTTAAGACAAGGACAAGTCAAGGCATGAGTCAACAAAACAAGAATCTGGATGGGATGCCAACTGCCAATTCTCTGAACTAAAAGGCCAAGAGGGACACTAGAACCAGCTATTCTCACCCCTTTGCTTTCCAATCCTCACAAGACTCCTCCTGGGTTCTTCTGAAACTAAACAAACCAATGGTCGCACCGAAAGATTCAGATTTGAGGAATGACCTTTGAAAAGGCATTCTATGAGCAGCACTTTTTCCAAAGAGTTATTTTTATAGCTTTCAGACTCTTCTCCAAACAAAGGTCTCTTGGAGCACCTCACTATTAAAATACCAGTACTCTGATGAAATCAGGGAATAAATATGCAGCATAGGCCTGCTCTTAGAGCAAGAAAACTAGATTTTCGCTGTGAGCTGTGGAGACTGGGGCAAATCCTTCTCTCCTGCACCTGTGGAAAGTGCAAGTTTGAAAATACGAGGTTACTGATAGTTGAAATAGTTGAAAATCTTTCTACTGTAGGAGCCCAGTCTTAATGGAGGTTTGGCCTTGCTGTGATGCTTCCACGTCTCAGCTTCGCACTTCAGTTTCAGCCAACGTCCACTAGTACCAAGTGCAACAGAAATCTAAATTCACACACACACAAAGTGTGTTTTTAGCCCAAACTCTACACTTACCAGTCACAGTAAAGTTCTTTCATAGAATATGTTGTTGCAGTGTTGCTATGCCATCTTCTACTAATGGATTACAGTTATGAATTAGAATTTAAAACAAGTCCCTCCACTACACACATTTCACCTATGTTTCTAAAGGTGACAATCAGATACAACAATGTGAATTCCATATACCTGAAAAAAAATCACCAAATATATGCTTATGCAGTCAGCAGGATATACACACACACAACTCCCCCCCAACCCTTCAAAACACACATACAAAACAAACAAAACATCACTCAAACTCAGAAATGAAAGTAAACAGCAATTGCTTAACCTAGTGCAATACCTGACTAGAACTGGCTTTTTCAAGCCTGTCAACCATTATTTCGAACTGTAACGGCTTGATTTCCATCTTCCGATTTAGTCTGTTCAACAGGGTTTCATCCTCAGAGTCCATATCATAATCTGGCTGTTCATTGTCCAGATTAAAGGCTGAAAAAGATACACATACACAAAAGGGAAACATTAGTTAAATCACATACCTAACTGAAATTGTGGAAGTGCTAATCCTGTGGGAACTCAAAGTGCTACTCATTCTCCAAAGCCAGTTCTGCAGTAAACACCTGTCTCTTTAGCCATACCGTCCAAAATAGTAAATTCCACTTTTCACAGCAGGAGTCCTATCTTTATTACAGATTGCATTATTCATTCTCCACACATATGCAAAGTTTCTGATCTTTCTAAAAAGCAGAAGAAAACATTCATTCAACCAAGTTTTACAAGAAGGATGAGAAAATCCCACAGAACGGCAACAGTTTTTTATTATGTATAATAAATACTTCACATTAATATCTTGACAAGGTGCAATATTAACTACAAACCTCCAAATAATTCAATCAGCAAATTAGTGTATTAACAGCAGGGAAGGTTTTTTAAACTGCATTTTACTTGTAGTAGCCAACAAGTCAAAGTGCTATCACATGGTTATGTTGCTAGGTCACGCCTGTATCTGAGCACTAATTTCAAGAAAACTGCTATTAACCTTCCTCGCATGCAGGGGAACTTGAAAGAAAAGGCATGGAAATACCAGGACCAAAACACCAGGATCAGAACACCAGGGTTAACATATCAGCATGTTCTCTCATAG